CTTCTAAGAGAGAAATCTGACTTAAAGAAAAGAAACCCTTTTTACAGTTTGTATTTATGGTTATTTCCTTAACAGACTACACTGCAGTTTGTTAACCTTCCAACTCAAAACATTTATTTTTAAAAGTACATTAACATGTCACTTCATCCAGCTTCTGTAGAATTTCATTAATATGAAGAGAAAGACCATAAGAAAACCCAGGTATTTGAATGAGAAACCCACGACTTTTCTTGGCTGCTTTGTGGGTGGTACTGGAGCCAGATACAACATTGGCTGTTCAAAGTAGAAACCAGGCAAAACCAAACTTGTGAGGGTGCTATAGAAACCTGTTAGATCCTTGTAATTCCTGCACTCCCTCTTGGCATGAATCATAGGAGAAATGACAGGTTCTCCAGTCTTATCATATAACAGTAAACTAAAAGGAAGAACAGCTTGTCCTTTTCTCCAGAACAAAGATTCCAAATACTGGTTGCCTCCTGATTTTAGGGCATATTTAATTCCAGCAGGATCGAAAATGAAGACTGGTTTTTCAAACATGTGTTGGGCTGTCTCTGCCTCTCTCCTCCTTGGTTTCACTCATCAGTCTCGCTCTGTGCTTGTATCTATAGGCCATGATTTGCCATCCAGCAGTACTGCTTTTCACTAATGTTCACCATTTGGAACTTCCAACAGTTTCTGCTTTCCTGAGTCCATGGAAAGAAAATGCTCTTTGTTGTTCACCTGTTGTGCAATCTCACATTGCTATTCCATGTCAAGCAATGTCTTTCACAGGAGCACTATGGCTCTCTCACTGTGCCATCAGGCTCTGGAGCACCTCTGCGTGGCAGCACTCTTGTGAACTACTTTGTGAACAACTGATTGCCTATTTTTTTAAATGACAAATTATTTAAAATAATAAATGTGCATGCTTTAGGTATATTAAGTGTGAAAAAAAGTATCAATACACCAGCTTATCATGCACAGCAAAGCCACATCACCAAACTGACAGTTTCACTCAGGATGGACATGGAACAGAAGCAACATCATCCACCAGGCTGGACACAGTGAGCAAATGCAGCCTGAGAGGAGGCTGAGAGGGAGATGACACAGCAGAGTACCTGGCAGAAAGTTTTCCTGCCTTTTTGAGAACACTGAAGTGATTTTCTTGAGGCAAGACAGCATCTGCTACCAGAACAAGCCCCACAGGAGCCTCTTTAAGCCTCCTCCATCCTCTCTCTCCATTAACTCGATTTATGAGGGTGTTTTAGGGAGCATTTGAGGACCAGGCTTGCAAGCAGTAATTACTCTGCTGTCACTGGTTTAATGTTTTTACTCTCTATTTTACATTCCCCACAGTCTCACTCTGACCTTGTACGTGCTTTAAATAAGGGACTAAATGTATTGAGTTGAGGCACACAGAAAGGATGAAAATTTGATTCTTCCCAGCTGTTGGTCCCTTTTCAACAGCTTTACTTCAGATCAGGGAAGGACAGACTCTGGATCTGCCCAGGATCAGTGACAATTTTATGAATAAACAACACAATAGCCAGTGAAAAGTGTGTGGGGTACCTCAACCTCATGAAACAGCCATGGACAGAAAATTTAGCAGCACCTTTGCAGACTTCAGAGCAGCAAAGATCCCTGTCCTTTCCATTAAGGTTTTTCCTAGGCTCCTTGGTGGGCAAATTTGAGTTGTACCACTGGCAGGTATGACATTAAGCACAACTAAACATATTTAATGAAGAACAGGAATGTCAGAACACCAAAGATAACATGCTGAGCCAAAGGCAGGAAGACTTGGCCACAATATTTTTTCCTGAACTCCTTCAGACAGACTTTCAGAGCCTATGGCCAGTTGCTGAGAAAGTGTTAGCTCCTCTCCGAAGTTCAAGAGGGCGAAAAAATCACATCTGTGGCATAAAAAGATGTTTCTGAGATTAAGTGGATCTATCCTGTGGAAGGTTTTATAGGTCAGTGTCAGTATTCTCCATTTGTGCAGTGGTCAGTCAGCATATGCTTATGGAACTCCCACTTCTTTCACTGAAGAGAGAGGCTGCTACATTGTACAGCAGTTATAACGTGTCTCTGGATTTTTTAAGCTTGCATACCAAGAATTACAACTTCTTTAGACAGCACACAAAAAGAATTAGTCTAAAACCAAAAAATAATAATTAAAAAAAAACAACCCACCCCAAATAGTTAAAATCATAAGCATTATTTTTCTGACAGCCAAAACTGGAATGACTAGTACAGCTTGATTCTTCAGGGCAGCCTGACACCAAGCAGGGCACCACCTTCGCTCACCAGGGACCACATCATGAGGTGCCGCAGCTGACAACCTCCAAATGCTTTCCTCCTTCTCCTGGTACTACTTTGGTTTTGTGTTTTTGGGTTCCTTAGTTGGTTGGTTTTGGTTTTGTTTGTTTGTTTGGTTTTGTTTTCCTAGATGTAATTTAAGGCAACTGCTCTACAGCCAGGCTAGAGTTTCTTCTGAGAACTAGGATCCCTATGGTCCCCTGGTTCCCAGTCTTCTTTCACAGCAGGATATCTGATGTTGCAGGTGAGAAGCCTCCCCACTTTTGGCCTCACACTGAGCTTCTCATCCTGAAATTCAGGTTCTTGCTGCCTGGGAGGAGCACCTGAAGATGAAGTCAGATTTGCCAATACTGGTCCCACCTTTCTGACCACAAGAGAAAAAGTCAAACAAGTAGCGTTTTCCTTATTTAGCACAATAACACACTTTGATGCCTTTCAGTCCGCAGAATGAGGCGCCCTGTTTCCTCCTTGGTCCTTCTTGGGATCAGGGCCTCTCAAGCACGTCTGTCTCTGACCTAACCAGGAGCCCAGCCAGCCCTGCACTGTAGGGCAGCTTGTACAGTCACGACACACACACGTGTGTAGGAGTGACGGCAGAATCAAACCTGACAAGTTAACATCAGCACTCTTGGCACGGAGAAGCGGCTGCCAAACAGAATTTCGGTGACACACAGCGAAGGCACGAGCAGCCCCAGCCGGGTGAGGTAACATCCCTCTTGCAAACAGGAGCAGCTGGGTGGGTGCTGCAGGTACTACCAGCTGGTTGCAAAGCTTTGGAAACCTGGGATGCACAGCCCAGCGGTGCCACCCTGGCGTGTCAGAGCACAGCTCGCACGGCTCTGCCACCTTCCTCAAGCTTCTGAGCTGTTAGTGAAAACCGCGGTACTTTTATGTTCATGTGGAGAAAGCAAACAAGCCCCCAGCTGCTTGCGGTGGAA